CCACCCCATCCCACCACCATTTCCTACGTTGATGATCTCAACTTCTTGATGTGTCTTCAACTTGTTTCTGAGTTCTTGAAACTGTTTGGAGTAGCCGACATTATTGTGTGTTGGACTGAACCAAAGACACCTCCAGCCGAGCCTCAATGCTGCTTCTTAAAAAAACAATGTCTGCCTTCCGATCCTTCAAAGCCTCTGCAGGATGCAAATGGGTTAACTTTTTTTATTTTTGTACAGTTTCTAACTGATTTTTTGCTAGTGATGTTAATTAAGTTTGAGGAGCCGCGGGGGCTCCTCCGATGAAATAAAAACTGGTGACTTTTATGTTTAAATAAAATAATATAGAAACCCGACATGTGCCTCTCAGATTCTAAGGGTTTCTGGTTATACTTCTTCTTAAGACCAGCAATGATTCTTTATATACAAAGATGCGTTTTTTTTTCCTCCTTGTTTCCTTTTTTATTATTACTGTTTCGGAAGGAAGGAGAGAAAACTTTCCTTCTGCTCTGAAGCCAGTGGTCACACTGGTACATAAATGCACTGAGTTAAAACGGAAAAAAAAAAATCAAAAAAACTTTTGTAACAACTTATGACTGTTTTTGTATATCAAAGCTGATTCTTTCCAAAAGATTTGGATCTAGTTTCTAAGTTATTTTAGTGTTTTATATGTTACAAGAATTAATTGTTCACCAGCATAATAACTAGTTATCTTCAATGGAAAAAAAGTGACATAGGTGGGCAGACGATCTACCTGGAGTAGCTCAGAAGCCCCTCCCCCTACTTTTCCTTTGACTATCGATTACAATATTATCACAGATTACCACAAACCTCCTTCCATTAAGACTAGATTCTTATTTCCATGTTTATTTGCTATTAGTGTGAAGAAACTGTTGATCTTTTTTTTAAAAAAACGGGCATTTTATAAGTATGGCTTAAAGGTAAAAATGAGGAAAAAGCAAAAAAAATAAATAAACTACTTTAGAAGGTAATTTGTGGGTCTGTGAGATATGGCTGTGGAAAGATATTGTAGTAGTTTTAACACTATTGTTATTACCTTTTAAATCATTTACCCAATAAAATGAGGAAAAATCGCAGCTGCTTGTATTAATGGTTTCCTTGCACTCTGATGCCTTGCCTTAAGTTTTAGCTCTGG